AATATACTGAATAGTCAAAGCACAATCATTTCCATTTAAACAAAACTGTACGCCAAATAAACTTACCAAGAAAATTCTACTTACTTTGCTAATTTACATTTAAAAAAAAAACAATCTTCTCTATCATTAAGTAAATTTATATCCTGTTCAAGAACTAAACTATATATATTCAACCAACAATATAATAGTAAATCAATTAACAAAAACCCAATACTACTCTCAATTATTATAATTTTTCTGACTACTTTTATGTTTTGCAATAAAGAGAAAAAAAGACCAATCACTGCTACTCAGAATGATGATCCTGAGAAAACCTAATCTTTTATTTATGCCTTAATGTCTGATTTTATTCTACCATATTAGCACGTGGGAAAATACAATATAATATTTTATACATTCATTTAACAGATTGGATTAATATTTTATAAAAATCAATTCAGCAAAAAATAGTCAGAGTTCTTGGTAGCTATCAAGTTTAGAATAAGGGAACATCAGCTGCCACACACACTTAACATATAAGAACAATCCCATTTCCTAAAACTCATGGTTAAAGTTATCTGCTTAAAATTTATAAGTAAATACTAAGTAAAAATGTAAATAAACATTATATAGGGGAGGAACACAAAGGAAAAAAAATGCTCACTTGGTCTATTTACCCATTATGTTCAACACATAATTTGTATTGTACAGATCTATTTCATAACAAATATGAAAGGTAACTAACATTCAAATTTACCTATTATAATGGTCTAGTCACTACAGACGAAGCATTATAAAAATTCTCTTGGCTTCTGGGTTTAAACTTTGCTTAAATTGTAGAATTTAGAATTAGCATTGTCATTTTTCACTTGCTTCTTAGGGTCCCCTCCCCTAGAAAGGCATCTTATCTTCAAGGGATTGGATTCAGGAAAATTACTATGGATCGTGAATTTGGAGAATTATGAAGGCAAGAGTTGCCAAATCAAAGGAAAAGTCAGAAAACTGAGAATATGGAAAGATGGAGACTAGTATTTGAAATATATTACCTGTTCCAAGTTTTGAAGGCATTGCTGGCTCGTTTGAACAGATATCCTTCCATAACAATGCCATTTGCAGCATCTACATTATATTCTAACTTAGAATCATCACTGGAGAAATCCTAGACAAAATAACACATTAAAAAGTTCATATGATTTGAATAAGTTCCCTAGACAATATATTTATTCTAGAGAAACAGCTCAAATGGTAGAAAAGCTTTGTATTAAGATAGTTATATCAAAAATGTTCAAAAGAAAAAGGGGGAGCTAAATGTTTACTAGAAGAATGTTTCGACATATTAAAGTATTTTAATTTAGTGGACTATGCAATAATATTATCTTGATGATATAAAACACAGATGATTATACAGAATATATGCTAAATGAGAAAACAAAATATAAACTATACAGATATATGCTGTGATTAAGAGCACAAAATAATATGTTTACAAATAGACAAAGAGAGCAACTAAATATTATATAAGGTGCTATGCTTAAAATGTTTTCATATTTTCCCAATATTTTGTGGTGATATGTGTGCTAACAAAAAAAGGGAATATGGATATATTTAATTGGGATTATTTAAATCTACCATTATTTCTAAATATATTATTATGATGGTAGTTTTTAAAACTAGTAATAATTCCACTATATGGGAATTTAGAAATAAGATGACATTTTTTTTCCTAAAATAAAATTTAGTTTTGCAAAGGATAAGAACCACAGTTTGAAGTGGGCATGCTGAGCTTACTTTTTTATAAGGACTATAGAATCACTCATAATCTTCTATCATTCTAATCATTTTAATATTCACTTTAATATTCACAAACTTTTAATTTTCTTCCAAGGATTCGTAACTTTTGAAATCAAAAATTCTATATTTAAAATTCTTCCTGATGAACTACCAATATAATTTGAACAAAACTACAAGATTGCTGCTATCCCCAAATTAAAAATCAGTCTTAGAACTTTCAAAATTACTGCTGCGCTGATGATCAAAGATGGAATGCTATCCTATTAGGGAGAGTAGTAAATTTTCTGTCTTGAGAAAGATTTAGACAAAGGCTGAATGACCACCTGCCAAGATCTGGAACATAGAAGTCCTACACTTAAGGGAAGCAGAGTGAGAGTGACCTAAGGGCCTTCCGAATCTAAGAGTCTACAAAGATAGAAAAAGGAAATAGACTAAATTCAGAATTAAAAGCAAAAACTCCTGGCATGTCTCAAAATTTAACCATAAACATATAATAATCTAAAATAATAAAATGAAACAGAAAACGTAAATTACTTACTATATTTCTTCCTACTTTTTTCTTTGGAAAAAAATCAAGGAAACTTTAATTCCCTCATTTAAAATTTATTTGAGGCTATAATTGTCTTAATTATGCAGACAGGTTTTAAGTCAGCAATAGATATAATTGAGTTCGGCAACATTCTAAAGGTTTCATTTATGATATCAGCAGTTTTTTAATAACCTCGACACTACTTAAACATCAAATAAGACTTCCTTGAAAGTGCAGCATATTATAGGATTCTATTTTCAACTACATTTCTTAAGATAAATTAACTCTTCAATTTAGTTACTATTGATATCAAATTAATATGTTATAGTACTTAAAATGTTACATGATTTTATAATGAAATCGACTAATAATGTTGGATAGAATATATAATATTAGAATTTAAATATATTGAAGCTCCCAAATTAGAAGAGCATACTCAAAGGCAAAAGATTAAGTAAAAATTTAAAGCCAAAGAGGTAGGCAGAGCAAAGAAACCAGTTTTTGCTTTAAGAGCATTTGTCTCATAGGAGATCAGGAAGCTTTGGTGTGGGGCCCAGGGAATAAAAGGCAAGACCAAGATTGGCAAGACAAGAAAGACCTTTATTACCACTTCAAGATTATGCTGGAAGTCCTAACCATCAAGATAACAAACAAAAAGCAAAGGACTGGAAAGGAAGAAATGAACTATCATTATTTGTAGATGATATGACTTTGTATGCAAAGCATCCAGAAGAATTCAGAGATAAATTAGTATTAAAGAGAGCTTAACAAGATTACTGATTATAAAATCAGCATAGAAAAATCAACTTTATTCAAATACATAACAAAAGTAAACAGCAAGAAAAAAATTTTGAGATAACATTTACAATAAGATTTATAATGTGTCTAGGAATAACTAACAAAAGATGTACAATAAAATTATCAAACTTTATGAAAGACATTAAAGAAAACTTAAGTAAATGGAAAAATATTTCAAGCTTATGGATTAGAAGATATTATAAAATAGAGATATCAATTCTGCATTGATTCATAGATCCAATGCAATCCCAATCAAAATCCCAAAAGCTGTTTTATGCACTTTGAAAAGCTGCTCCTAAAATTTATATAGAAATGCATAACTTAGGCAATTCACTTTTGAAGAAAAGAAGGTAGGAGGCTTTGCTTTGTCAGATATTAAGATATATTGTAAAGCTAAAATAATTAAGACAGCACAGTTTTGGCATAATTAAGACAAAAAGACCAGTGCAACAGAATAGAGAGCATGAAACAGACCTCATGTATATGGAAATGTGATGTACAACAGAGGATAAAACACACAGTAGTAGCAAAAGTACAAACTTTTAAATAACTGATTCTGGGTCAACTAGCTACCAATGTGAGAATAAAAAGAAATCGGATTCTCTACCTCACACCATACACAAAAATCCAATTGCAGATAGATTAAAGATCTAAACATAAAAGGCAGATTTATAAACACTTAGAAGATTATACAGGAGTTATATCTTTATGATCTTGGGTTGGAAAGAATTTATTAAACAAGACACAAAAAGACACACACAAAAATATAAAAATAAAAAAAGATTTATTTTAAAAACTGTGTGAAAATTAAAAACACATATATCCCAAAAGGGTATTTATATCAGAATATATGAAGAATCTGATCAATAGTTAGGCAACCTGATGGAAAAATGGGAAAATAACTAACAGATATTTCACAAAGAGAATATCCAAATGACAACAGGCATGGGGGAAGTGCTTGAGCTCATTTGTGACTAAAGCATAAATTAAAACTACAATGAGATAGCATATCTACCCACCAAAACTGGCAAAAATTAAAGACTCTCACAAGACAATGAGGTGGCAAGGAGCAATGGGAACTCTCACACAGTGCTGCCTGCCGAGAATGGAACAATGTTTGGAAAAACAGTTTACATGAATGTGTGTAGCATCATTATTTCTTTAGTTGATCAAGTTCAATTCTTAAAAATCTAAATAATTACATTAGACATATTTTCCCTTAATTTTGAGTTGATTGGATCTTCTTTTCCTTTTTTTTTTTTTTACCTGTAATGCGGCCTTGTGTCAGCATTTAAGGGCAGAAAAAAGGTAAGTATACATAATGAGCAAAAATAGCATTACTTTCTTTAAAGGAAAACAGTAATTGACTATTATTTAAAATCAAAAAAATTAATTTTAGATTTAATAATCTACGGAAAGATATTAAAAGATGTATAATATTCATCAAATAATTCAGTTTAAGCACATAGTCACACGTTTCTACAAATATCACGATCTCTTGTTTTAATTAGAAATGACTGGTCCCAATTTTTAACAGTCTTTCCGTGGTAACGTCATTAACTTACTCAACCAAAAGTGATTTAACCTTCAGCAAAACAAAACATTGAGTTAGTCTTACCTGACTATAGCTAGAAGTAACTAATTTAAAGACAGTGTGGTAGACAATCTTCTTTTCTTTTTGATTATTAATAACCCATCATCAACAAAGTTTTTCTTACTTTTATTACTGATTCCACTTTCATTTTTTCCCACTGGTATGTTCTATGTCAGATCTAGTTTACTGGTATTTTGAATACTAAATAAATCATAACAAAAGTTGATCTGACTGCTCAAAAGCAAGGGAACAGATTTCTTAAAGCAATGCTAGAAGGCATGTTTTTTTTTTTTTTTTTTTTTTTTTAGGTAGGGAAAAGTGCAAATGCAGTCCCCCACCACCACAAATTATGCAGCTGAGTTTCTGACATTTGGGAAAATCGCAAGGGTCAGTACATCCAAAGTGCAATCGAAAAGCCTTAGCCCGGCAAAACCACTTTTGTAATCACGGCATCTCCCACAACAGGTAAGTATGAAAGGCATCTTGTCACATACTTGTATTATGACACCCAACCTCCAATTCTTTCCTTTTATTTTCAGATTACTATACAAAAAATGTTACTACCTATATAAAGTAAAATATTATTAGGGAGTTCCGGGTGTTTCATATTGAAAGCTTTTAGCATGTAGAAATAAAAACTAGTTTCATATTTAAAGTTTTGTTTTCAAATATATTTTTCAAATATCAGTTTAGCTAGGCTTAGGCAAATTAGCAAGAAATGTAAGTGAAATGTCAGCATCACATGCGAGATAGGGATTGCTGCCTTAGAGTGACTGAAGCTGGAAAGTCTATAATACCAAACACACACATTGATGCTAAGGTGTTCTCCACCCCCATCTCCCCACCACAAAGGGGTTGGTGATATCCTAACTGAAACACCATAAGCAGTGTTTTCTAACGGCCACTTTTAAATTAAAGGCCCTTAAAAGATTGACTTTTTATAAACTGGTTTAAGACCAGGGCTTTCGAATATTTTGATGTAAAAGAATAACAAATGTCTGAACATTTGAAAAATATTTTACTTTTCACAAAAAAGGAGGAATTTATCTACACAATTTAATTATTAAAGCAACTCAAAAGGATTGTTCCAACACAATGGTATCTTGCTGAAACCAATAATCAAACAATTGTGTAAAATGAGAATTAATCTCCTTTAACTTCTCCCTTCTAATACCTTTTGTTGAATGGTGGAATGTTTTTGCTCCATCTCTCTTTTCTCTTTTGCTGCATCTACAACCAGTCGATCCAACTATAAAAAAAGAAAAGGAAAAAATTATACAGACCCCCCAAAAAAGTAAGTTTATTTATTTTTAATCAAATTCCCAATAAGTCACTCATTTTAACTTAAAAAGGTATTTTGGCTACAATTTTTCAATGGAAGTTCCTTTTTTTTCCTTAGTATCAAATCCTCTTTGAGTAGGTCTGTAACTCCTCCAGGGAAAATGTTTCTAAGAACAGTCATGGTTCAAGCAAATGTGACAAGAGGCCTTGTCAAGGACACAATGATAACATGTTCACTCCCTGAATAAGAAAAATGACTCTAGCTTAAGTTGCCCACTGACCCACTCGGCAATTCTGGTAGTTACAATCAAAGATAGAAAAGATTTTTTTCCAAAACAGTAAAAAGTAGCAACTAAGCTAGTGTAAGCCAGCTCTCTCATATTTAATGTACCAAGACTTCCAATCACCCAACCTCATGTTTTCATGTTTTCATGTTGGCTTTCTAAAGTTATAATCAAATCTAAAAGGTAGAAAAATAATTCACCAGATAAAAGAGAAAGCTAAAAAATAATAGTAATAATAATAGATTAGTAATCATTCATAAGACTAGAGTATAAAATCGCCAATTTTTAAGATTCTTTTTTAAAGCTCAAAAAATTTATGAAATCATAAAATCCCATTTCTTTCATATTCCTTTCCATCAGGAAAGATAATTTTTCATCAAAAGAGAAGTATCTGATTTCCAGTATTATGACAAATGCACTGGCTTCTTGAACTCCTCTTTGCTGGAATAACAAGCAAATGGGTTATAAAATACTCCAATATGTGGTTCTGCTCTTCTAGATTGTGATGCATGTCATTTCATCTTTGAACTCCCATCACCTGTAACTCACTAATGTGTAATAAATAAATAGATAAAAATGTAAATATCAACAGGAATATGGAAGATAAAGTATTAAAAGTCCAAATGTTTTAACTGCTATCCTTTAAAAGCTGAATTGAAAATAAAAGTCATCTTAAAAAACTATTTGATCTTTTATTCACTCTCTATCACAAATGTTTTTTTTCTACAAGAGAATAATTCTGGCCACAGAATCTTAATATCCCTGAATAGTAAATAAAGAACTAAAACAGAAACTATCACTATTATAAAATATTTGATTTAGATGGTAACTACACAACTTTACCATAGGATGTAATACATACATAACTTAGTAACATGTTATACTGATTTAATGAGTAATGCTGGTATGTGCTACACTATGAAAAAGTCTGTCCTCAGTAGTTTCTTATACTGAATAAGTGGAATAACCATTATGCCAGTTTTATAGCCTCAACAGAATGGCATGTAAATATTATTCATTCATTCGAATTGAAGTGCAGTACAAGGCAATCCCCAGGATTCAAACTAATATTTATAAACTTCAGTGCATGTACCTCCCACACAGTACTGCAATGCAGTGATGGTTTTCTGCCTGTCAAATTGGTAGTAAATTCCTCTGCTGCATCCCACCCTACTGCTATTGCAGCAGAAAGGGAGAAATCTCTCACTCTACTGTTGGGGCAGAAGTACAAAGAAAAAATATTTTTCAACTTGGAAGACAGTGGGGGAAATATGAGTTGGAGAGATGTGAAGACTAGCATGCATACCTTCCAGATGCTGGGGGCTACATCAGGAAGAAAGAGCTTGGAGCATACCAGGATATGTCCCATGTCTCTATTAGTGTTGAATAGTATAAATTTAACAGCTCTTATAACTGGCTAGGTGCCCATAATCCTCTATCTTGTTTTGAATCCCTTGCACACCTACTACCTCAGATATCATCACTTCTCTTTCTGCTTTTCAACTTTTGCCATTCCTATAAGCTTTTTAATTTATGCAAATCATGCTACCTTAAATAAAATCTTCCTCCAACCCATAATTTTCTCTAGCTACCACCTTCTCTCCTTCTTTCCTTCACAGTACAACTTCTTGAAAATTTTCCCCTGTTCTCTACTTGCCCTTTTTATTTTCACCTGCCCACTGTAATTTAGCTTTCTAATTCTAAATTACAAATTTAGAATTTCTGCCACTAAGATCCTCAACCCTCAGAGAGGTAACAAGTAACCTTCTAGTCACTAAACCTGATAGGTAGTTCTCAGTCCTAGGTTTACTTGATATTTGAACTGATAACTACCCTCAACACCTTTC